GAGTTCTGGGGGGGGCTGTCAGGGGGCGTGGGAGTCCCAGGGGTCTGTCTGGGGGTGGGGGTGTGGATAAGGGTTGGGGCAGTCAGGGTACAGGTAGGGGGTAGAGCCCTAGGGGGCCAGTTAGGATGGGGGGAGGGTCTCAGGAGGGGGCAGTCAGGGGACAAGAGGCAGGGAGGCTTAGGTAGGGGGTGGAGTCCTGGGGGGCAGTTAGGGGCAGGGGTCCCAGGAGGGGGCAGTCAGGGGACAAGGAGCGGGGGGAGGGTTGGAGGTTCTGAGGGGGGGAAGTGGGAGGGGCAGGGCTAGGGCAGGACGGGGCGGGGCTCCTCCCGTCCTCTTTTTTGCTTGTTGGATTATGGTAACCCTAAGTTATGTTCCTGAAAAATGCAACTTTAAGTGAAACAATGTTAAACAAATCCAATTTTCCCATAAGATTTAATGTAAATGCGGGGGGTTAGGTTCCAAGGAAATTTTTGGGGAGCAGACAAAAGGCATTATATACTGTACAGTACTGTACTGTGGTTGGGAAGTGCCCCTGGCTTACCCCACACAGGCACAGCCCGCTGCAGGCAAGGACACTAGGAAGCACCTTTGCAGCAGCAGTGGCAGCTTCCCCGGAGAAGAAGAGGCGCCAACTTTGCTGGGGAATGCTCCAGGCCCACCTCTTCCTGTCCCCGCTCCACTCCAGCTGTTTGGTGGCACTTAGGACTTTCTGGGAGGGAGCGGGGAGCGCAGATGCAGCGCTTCCCCGCTCCTGCCCCTCCCTCCCAGAAAGTCCTAAGCACTGCCAAACAGCTGTTTGGTGGTGCGCGAAGCACTGGGAGGGAGGGGGAGGAGGCGGAGAAGAGGAACTTTACAAGGGAGCATTGCACAAGTTGCTGCTCTTACAAGCAGCGGACAGAGCAGGTAGTCAAATGACGTTATAAAGGAGCATTGCACAACTTTAAACGAGCATGTTCCCTAACTGAGCAGCGACGTAACTTTGAAACAACGTTAAGCGGGAGGACGTTAAGTGAGGAGTTACTGTACTAAAGTCTATATCCGATTTTCATTTCAGGAATTTGAAGAGTTATTTCTAAGCAACTGGAAGAAGATCTAGCCAATTAGAAAAACTGGGCTGTCCATTTCCACAATTACTAGCAACATCATCATAGTCAATGAAAAGAGATACTGTGTCTTTCTGAAACCAAAACCAGTCATTTTAAAGCAACCCAGAGAATGAAAAACAAAACTTACTTTAGCATCCTAAAACAAGGCATGTCATGAAGCAAGAAAAAGAAAGATTACAATTAAACAGCAAATCCTCAGAAAGTTTAGTTTTACAGAATATTTAGATCATTTTAAAAGTATCCGTGGACTAGTCTAGTACCTATTTGATTCAAGTGGTTTAGTATTGTAACATTAGCACTTCAGAAATGAGTCATTTAATCTCTATATGCGTCATACGTAGAATCATCAAGTTTTTAATCTTCAGATTAACGCATGTGTATACACTGATTTACTAGTAAAGGCACAAAGTTAAATATTAAGACAGTTCCACTTCACTTGAAACAGGTGTATTTTTGTACTTTGCAAGGACACTGTTGAGTAGCTTAAGCCCAACATCTGACCCAAGAGGTCCATTCTACACTCAATGTATACACAACTCCATCAATAATGCTGGAAATTAAGTATGAAAAGGAGACTAAAATCACTCAACGCTATTACAATCTGATTAGGCAAAATCCTGTGGATTTTTTCAGTCCACTCACTCTTCAATAAAATTAAAATTTCTCCCTTTCTAATAAAGCCAAGGACACAAAATCTCACTTCCAGCCATGTGACACCCACAGATGTTTTCTCACTGAAGCAATATTTAAATATTCCCAGACCCGTACTGACATGGAAGCTGGTGTGAAACAGCCTTGGCATACTATCAATTATAAAAATGTTAAAAATACTTATGCAAATTTCTACTCCATAATAGAGGGGGGGAAATGAGATTCTAAAACAAAATATCAAAACTGGTGAGAAAAGAAACAGCATTTTCATGCTCTGAGAATATTACAGAACAAAAACAAATTGAAAAGTATATTAAAACAATGACAGTGTCTTTAAGTATTTGTTTCCCTGTGCACTAATTTTAAGCATTTATTATAATAAATGAGGGTCGAACTTTATTCCTATGGTTGGATTAAGAGAAATAGAACTGTTAAATTCTCATGCAAGCTTGTGGGAGCTTGATGATCAAATTTATCCTGTTTATTTTAATGTAATTTTTCAACATCTGTCAGGGATAGTCTAGGTTTACTTGGTCCTGCCTCAGAGCAGGGTGCTGGACTTGATGTCTACTAGGTCCCCTGCAGTCCTACATTTCTGTGATTCTAACTTTTAATTATAATGGATTTGAAAACCTACAACTACAGAGGTGAAATTGATTATTTCCTAAATGACCAAAAAATACTTCTTTCACAATAAACTACATGGTAACTATTGATTAATGTTGCCACTTCAATTTTTGTACACTAAGGAACTTTTCTACCACTGTATATTCAAATTCCAGATAATCTTTAAATTGTAAAGGTTTTTACTATCCTCAAAATAAAGTTTCTTCCAGCCAACCGATCCTGTGTAGTTAAGCGCATTGCTTCACTCATGACTCAAATAAAATTAAATGGCATTTGATTGGATACTGTGTTATTAAAAATCTAGAACTAGACCTCACGAGTAAATCATGATGTATGGTTATTGTACAATAGTGATAAGTGATAGTCTTGTGACAGATACATTTTATCCTGAATTCTTACCAACTGCCTTCATCATTCCAATTTAGGATGCCTTGATATTTTTAAACATTTTGTTATGAACTTTAGGAATCAATTTAAGACTTAAATACAACATGGACAAGATCTATGCTATATTTAGTTCTATTTGTGTTTTTTAGATTTAGAAAACATTTGCATCCGTTTTTATCTAGCTGTTATGGAATTTTTTTTACAACGTTTTATAAGGCATCTGCAATACAGAATTTAACAGAGGTAACAAATACACATTTAAAATACCAGAACCAAGAGTTGAGAAAAAAGCCATTCACATGAGACAGAAATGCATGCAATACTTTATTTCAGACATGCCAGGAAGCTAATTAATTATCTAGTCATTTAAAAGCAAGCAGCTGTATACAGATAACAAGAGAAACAGCATCTCATTACAGCTCAATGCATAGCATTTTAAGCCAACAGTCATGAGAGAATGCAGATTAAAGTAGCATTAACCAACTGCACATGTTCACACAAACTGTTAATGTCTTACAAAAAAGAGTAACAAACTTGGAAATGGAAAACCATCCCTATGATCTAGTTTTCTATAACATATCCCAGAATGCTGCAAATTAAATCCAAAAATTCCCCTTTCATGTCCCCCAATTTTTTTAAAGTCAGATAGACATTTAAAATGTAGTACATAAAAATACTTTTGAAATTTTAAACTGTTTGTGGTCGATTTATTTAACCAGTTCCTTTCTATTTAAATGAATGTAATCTTTGCCTTAAAGATAAACCAGCTCTATATAAATGCAACAACATTCACTTTTAGTGGACAATATAGGGTGAAGTATATGTCTTCATCTTGGATCTGCATAACACTCAGGATAGTTATTTTAATAGAAATCTTTAAAGTAGCAGTCTTCCTTTTGTGATTCAATACATCTTATTTCAAACTACAAATACTGATTAATGAGCATTAAGATTTTAATATGCTATTAATGACTGAATATTAAAAGCAAAATGTTACAACTTTGAAGTATTAGGTTGCAAAGGAATGTACTTGGGTAACAATTTTAATCATTACTACGATAAAAGGAGGACAAATGCTCAAGTGTTTTCAACCTTTAAACACAAATCAGAATGTTAGAATTCTGAGATTTTGTGATATTACAAAAACATTATCTAGCTTAAATGCCAACGATCAGGCATAACAATTTCTCCCCGCTACCTCTATACATAAAACAGTAAATCACCACTACCCCAACAAATACTTTCAAAAGAAATTAAAAGTAAAGGTAGAGAAAAATGCATTTTACTTTTGCATTTTTCATTAGAGATGTATGCAGTTTTACAACTATACATAAAGCTTATACATATGTATGTATATATTCTATACACACTTTAAAAAGATAAGCCTTATACTATTCCATGGGATCACTAGTTTCTCTGTATAAACTTCTGATGTATACTACAATTTTATATGTATTTTCAAGTAACACCACAGCTGAAATATTTAAAAGATTAAGTAATGTTACACAGTATGTACTTATTCAAATGAATGACTTCCACACAAACGTTGAACATAAGACTTGGAACTTTTCACACAGTAAGAGATCATATGCTGACAGGAACAAGTTATATCAAGATGAGACATGAGAATATACAAACAGAAGGGGTGAAGGAAAGTACAACAGCAAAGATAATGGTTGTGGTATAGTCTATTGTGTTCAAGATGATTGATTTCACCAAGCTGAGGATAAGGTTCTGCCATGAATAAGTCAGGTCTATCTCCTCTCTGAAATGCTGCATGCATGATGAATGAAGTCATTTAGTACACTGGGACATTAAAGTATTCATGACGTGGCTACAAAAAGAAATGTATACATTCTTACACATAGTACACAGGTGGACAGATATACAATAAATATTCTTGCCAGAAGGTTCTTACAATACTATCTCTAATATAGAACTACACACTAGCCTTGTCTCCACTAGCCCTTTGGGGGAAATATTTTAACATTGTATTACCATTAATGCTCCTCCACTGGTGATATAATGCTGGGAGCATTAAGACAGGGCACAGGCATTTACACCTCTATATCATTTAGACCTAATATAAGCGGATCCAGAAGACATGGGTTACAACATGTTGGAGATCTATCTGCATTAGCTCTTCCACCACTGCTACCAGTAGCAGCACTGTCCCAGTGAGATTTCCAAAAAAGCTTCATGTAGACACAGCACTGTCATCATTATTCCAAGTGGGGTTGTTGGGGGTTTTTTGAGAAAAGGTGGCCCTTTTTTTCTTTCCTTTATATAACACCACAAATTTCATTCATAGATTGATGACTGCCTTTCAAACTGTTAGAACAGCTCCTTTATGAATACAACATCCATGTAACAATATGCTGCTAAAATGTTTGTATTTGGATATTGAGAGCTTTATAAACTTATCTGATCTTCTACTGTGCATTACATGTGGAAAGGACCCATATAAACTACCTTAAATCAGATTATGGCTGGTGCTACCAAACAGTTTATCTGTACCAGTTCCAGCCAACAAAGACTTGCCCACACTAGGGCTCTGCATACTAATACCAGTGCATTTGAAACAATGATAGTGCAGATAAGAATTTTCTGATAAAATTCTGTAGTGTAAACCCTGCCTCTGAAGGTACAAATATTTTAATCAGCAGATACTCAAAAAGGAACTGAATTTCAACGAAATTTACCAAAATGATGGCTTGGTATGTTTTTCCTTACAGTTATCTACAGCATAGTACAAATTGTTAAAGGAAGTTAAAGGAATATTCTACAAATATTAGAATTTCATTTGTACTTCAAGAGGTTCAGCTGCAACCATTCATTTTTCTGTGGTTTTAAAATATGTGCATGTCTCATGAAGAGGGGCCAGATACTATCGAGATTCCCTCCTCTCAAAAGGGCACTTTTGTTTAATGATTGCAAAACTTCCCTAACTCAGTGTCATGATCAAAAACTTTTCACAGATTAAATCTTACTATTTCACTGAAAATACTCTTGATTATTAACATAACAGTTTGCTCTTGGACTGCATTATGAATATGAAACATTAGAACATTAGAAAAACTGCTTCAGTTGCAGTATATTGTTAAAACCCACACAGCATTCACAACACATGTTCACTTTATGCAATGCATTATGATGTTTTGAGGACACTTGGATCAGAATTTCAAGTGCTCAAGGGATTTAGGAGCAGAAGTCCCACTGAAAGTTGTCAGGACATTTACTTTTCAGCCCGTCAGGCATTTTTTGAAAATCTCCCCATCAGTTACTACCCTTTACTGCATGCCAATTAAAGACATTATTTCACTTTCCGTTCCAGGAGTCACCAAGAAAAGAAATCTCAATACAAGCAAAATCCTTAAAAAGGGATGGAAATACTTACAAGAAAAGCTTCTGCACTTGCTAATCTTATCTGTAACACCCTCCATATAACTGGTCTTTAAATATCTCCAATTCGGTTTAATGTCAAATGTTTTAACAAATGACAAAAAATAAAAATGTATAATTCCCAATTTCCATGGAAATCATTCTTGAGGAAGTAACTTTACTCCGCAATGTTTGCAATCCAAACATTGCAGCACACCAATTATTTAGAAATTAAATATAAACAAGTGAATTTGACTAATTCTTCACTTCTAAAACTATGGTACATATACCATTGGTAGGAGAGCAACAACCAAGTGGTATGTGGGTTGGTTTAAACTTATAATGCAGGGGTCGGCAACCTTTCAGAAGTGGTGTGCTGAGTCTTCATTTATTCACTCTAATTTAAGGTTTCACGTGCCAGTAATACATTAACGTTTTTAGAAGGTCTCTTTCTAGAAGTCTATAATATATAACTAAACTATTGTCGTATGTAAAGTAAATAAGGTTTTAAAAATGTTTAAGATGCTTCATTTAAAATTAAATTAAAATGCAGAGCCCCCCGGACCGGTGGCCAGGATCCAGGCAGTGTGAGTGCCACTGAAAATCAGCTTGCGTGCCGCCTTCGGCATGCGTGCCATAGGTTGCCTACCCCTGTTATAATGGATTCTGATTCAGATATTAACTGCGCTGATTAAATTAGTAAAAATGGTGTGGCATGATAGTTTTCAAACTTCAAGACCTTTCTCATTGCCCAACCCAAAACAGATGTAAACTAACAAATAGTGAAGAGAAAGTTTCAGTCCTGGTCTACACTAGAAAAATCACACTGGTTTACCTATGTCAGTCAGGCATGTTCTCCCATCGGCATAGATACTGTCTACACTGAAGTGCTACAGTGGTGCAGCTGAGATCTTGAAGCATATTCTAGCACTGGCCCCTGGTGCTGTGGCCTTTGGGAAAGGAGGCATAGGCGCTAGCTCTACACCTACTGAGATTCCCCCACGCAAGGGGTATTCCCTACAGGGTACTTACGGAAAGTTCCAGCTTCCCTTGTGCTGATTGAGTGGTGCAAGTTAGTGGACTGGGGAAGCACTGCAAGATAGCAGACTGCCTATTTGAATATTTTGTTAACAAGTCTAAAGAAATTGCTTTTTAACAATGGTATATGAATTTTAACTTTACTGTCTCTCTTTAGTAAGTACATTTAAATTATCTGCCCCAGTTTAGATTTGGGAAAGGTATGTGGAATAGCCATAAATAATGTATAGCATTTTCTCCTCCTGGGTATAGCTGGAAGGGTCTTGGGCTCACCTCCCCTAGTCCAGCACCTGCCACTATTCCACCTGGCTGGGCTATCCCTCATCTCACAGGCACTTGACAGCTCTTTCTGGTCAGGGAGAAGGAAGATTTACTGAACCCAACAAGACCTCATTTCCCCAACTCTCCTCTGAAGAGCTCACCAATTAATTTAAGATCTTCCCAGCACAGTGCCAACTTCTCTCCACCACAGGGGGTCACCTCTGAATATAAAGACTCATAATTCAATTTCTTGCAGGATTGGTACATGACAAATAAGAATGCCCTAATCCTTCACTTGATGGTTTATCCAGTTGCTACCTTGCTGTTTTTTGTACTTTCCAAATTAGATTTATTTTTATTTTTGCCTCAGTACCAATATGGAATAAGCCTTAACGTTTGTTTCCTCTATGCTAACCTAAGGGCTTCCTGATGCTGTATTCCAGTTGACTACACTAAAAAAAAAAAAGTTACCTTTTCGGTAACTGGTGTTCTTCGAGAGGTGTTGCTCATGTCTATTCCACAATAGGTGTGCATGCTCGCCACGTGCACCGGTGCCGGAAGTTTTTCCCCTAGCAGTACCCGTAGGGGGGAGCACCCCCCGCGACCTCTGGAGTGGCGCCTGCCTGGCGTGGTGAAAGGGAAGCTGCGTGCTCCCCCCACCCTCAGTTCCTTCTTGCCAGACAACTCTGACAGAGGGGAAGGAGGGTGGGATGTGGATTAAACATCTAGAAGAACACCAGTTACAGAAAAGGTAACTGTTTTTTCTTGTTCGAGTGATTGCTCATGTGTATTCCACAATAGGTGATTCCAAGCTATATCTGTTGGAGGTGGGTAGGAGTTCACAAGTTCCCAGGACAGAGGACAGCCCTGCCGAACCCGGCGTCATCCCTGGTTTGGGAGACGATCGCATAGTGCAAGGTGAACGTGTGAACCGACGACCATGTGGCGGCCCTACAAATGTCCTGGATGGGGACGGGGGCCACAAAGGCAGCCAACGAGGCCTGTGCCCAGGTCGAGTGTGCCCTCACAATGGGTGGCGGGGGAACGCTCACCAGCTCATAACAGGAACGGATGCACAAAGTAATCCAATTGGAAAGCCGCTGAGTGGAAATCGGCTGGCCCCTCGCGCGCTCAGTCGAGGCGACAAACAGTTGGGAGGACTTTCTGAATGGCTTAGTCTGCTCAAGGTAGAAAGCCAGAGCTCACCGCATGTCAAGCATGTGGAGGCGGTGTTCCTCACTGGATGGGTGAGACTTGGGGAAGAGGACCGGTAGAAAAATGTCCTGACCCATGTGGTAGGCGGAGACCACCTTCGGGAGGAATGCGGGGTGTGGGCGGAGCTGGACCTTGTCCTTATGAAAGACCGTGTACAGCGGTTCGGAGGTCAGGGCCCTGAGCTCGGAGACTTGCCCGACTGACATGATAGTAATCAGGAAGGCCACCTTCCACGAGAGGTGAGACGAGGAGCACATGGCCAGTGGGTCACACGGGGGCCCCGTGAAATGAGCCAACACCAGGTTTGGGTCCCACTGTGGAACCGGGGGGTCTAGAATACGGGAAAAGACGGTCTAGACCCCTAAGGAACCGGCCAGTTATAGCATGGGAAAACACCGTGTGTCCTTGCACCGGCAGATGGAAGACCGATATGGCCGCCAAGTGCACCTTGACGGATGAGGGCGCCAGGCCCTGGGCCCTCAGGTGGAGGAGGTAATCAAGGATAAGCTGGATCGGGGCGGTCATAGGGGAGACACCCTGGTCTGCCACCCACCTAGAAAACTAGAACCACTTTGCAAATAAGCATGGCGAGTGGAGGGCCGTCTACTTTCAAGGAGGACGCGCTGAACTTGCTCTGAGCACGTCCTTTCCTCTCCACGTAACCAATGAGCAGCCACGCCCTAAGGTGAAGAGCCGCTAGGTTGGGATGGAGGAGGCGGCTCTGGTCCTGTGAGAGCAGGTCCGGGCAGAGCGGCAACGGCCACGGCGGAGCTACCGCCAGGCCCGTGAGGGTCCCGTACTAATACTGCCTGGGCCACGCCGGGGCAATCAGGAGAACTCAGGCCTTGTCCGACTTTATCTTCTCCAGGACCCTGCTGATTAGAGGGAACAGGGGGAAGGCGTAGAGAAGCCGGTCTGACCAAGACAGGAGAAAGGCAT